TCTCTATATAAATCCTTTTAACTCTGGTGCTGATTTGATTCCTTTTTTCTATTTGCTATTTTTGGACCTAAAACCAAGTCTTAACACTTTTATCAAATTGATTCCTGGAAAGCCTTTCTATACTCGCAGTATTCTTATGAAACATGCTTTTCACTGATGTTCACTTAATCTCCAGTGGTTTGAAATAACCACTGTGCAAAACTGCAAGTAAACTAGAATGCCTGTAAAACATGACACAGCAGATGTTTTATGAAGTACAAAGTGAAGCAAGCAGCAGTTTAAAGCAGTCTTGCATTTTTTCTGGGCAGAGAAACCCGTTCTTATGTTGGCACTCTTTGATGAGAGAAACCACCAGTGAGGATAAAATTAAATTTCAATTCAGTTTATTTATATAGCGCCAAATCACAACAAAGTTGTCTCAGGGCATTTTACAGGATAAGATAACAGAAGCTGATTTGTGAGTCTGGAGTGTGGCCCATATACGTAACTTGTGATTTCAAAGAGGTCTGGGTGTGGTTATTGATTAGAGTTAACATGCAGAGGAGTGTCAGAGACGTGGAAAGTTGAAGAGACAGAATTGGTGCTGAGATGAGAGTCCTCCTCAGTCCCCCTTAAGGCTCATCACTTCCTGCTGTCTAATCATATTGTACTGGATAACAAAAGTCATTAATATTGGATCACAGTCAGGGCTCTGACATCAAAATGAGTCATTTAACTTCCAGAATAATAATTTGTTGAGCAAATGAAATTGCATTTGTAATTAATTTTCCCCAAAATACAATCACAAGCCATTACACAAACTTAAACCAAACTAACAAACTATTTTTCCTGGGTTGTTTTTGTACAACTTTTAATAAGTTGCCAAACTAAGAAGGGTAATGGTGTGGCCAAATCAAATCAAAAAGTATATAGTTCCTTTCAAAAATTGAAAGTATTTTATACTAATTTCACTGAAATGCCACTTGATTGTTTATGGGTTGCTGACTATCAATGCTGCTGATCTCATACTGCTGATTTATTTCATGCTGCTGTGTTTATTCGTACCCATCTGCTCACACAGACTCATGTCCATGCTGCTGTTGTTTGGCGTATTGTTTTTGTACTATTAGTGTTTACCATATTCTCAGTTTAGCGTATTTCTTCAAGTTTATATCTTAGATCCTATTACTATTTTTCTTTACAATTTATACTTTTGTTGGATGTAACTGGGACCCTGTGTACACAGTTTGTTCCTTCACATGTACCACATATGGTGCGAATGATAATAAAGAAATATTGACCTTGACCTTAATCTAAACGTTTTTGGTTTTTTTTCCTTTTCTTTTTCTGCCTTCAGAAACATTTAAGTGAAACAACCTGGAACAATGTACGTGGTAGATTTATAGGGATTTGAGAGGAGTATTGCACTCTAAACCAAATTGTTTGAAGAAAGTGCACATTGCAAAGTTTTACCACAAGTATTGTATGTGAATAAATTAGGGATTGTGACTGCTTTAAGCTAATTACACAATATTTGTTTTCTAATATGTCACAAAAACCCTGAAAGTTTGTAAAATAAGAATGCATTAGGTAAAGTGCTTGCTGTATCTCTAATTAAAATTTAGTAAGTTAAAAGCTGACACCATTCTCCATTTTATATTGTGAACATTGACTGTGACATTAGTTATTAAAATGTTGCCAAAACTTAAAAAAATTGTTGACAAAATATCTTATGAAATACAGAACAAGTTTGAATTAATCTTTCAGAAAGCATTTATTCAGTGTAGATCTACAACTGTTTACCTTTTGGAGTTAACCACAGTCTAAATGACTACTAAATGGTTATTTGATCTTAGTTAACATAAAGAAATGGCAATATTGATCATTTTAAAGTTAATCTTTTGAAATTTGGTGTGACAGAATCTGATAGTCATTCACAAAGCATATTTTAAGCATGAACAGATCACTAGGTATCATATAACTTAAAACATGGTGTAACCTTTTATTTTTAGGTTTAACCAAAAGCACTTGCTTCTCTCCAACAATTTTCAGTCAGGTCATCTGGACAGCTTTTTTTTTTTTTTTGTGCTGGAACGTTTAATCTTCCATCCAGAGCATGGACTTTGTTGGTTTTGAACCAGTTTGACATGACTGTTGACGAGGGAGAGGGCTGGCACTGGAGGAGGGGGCGTGCCAAAGAGACCATCTTAGCAACAACATAACTGGTTTGTTCCACTTTGGAGCAAGCTGTTGGGGGAAGAATCAGTTTTGTGTTGTGTGTTTCCTTGACTGATGAAGCCTTCTGGATGGAAGGTGAAACGTTTCAGCACAAAAATAGTCCAGATGACCTGACTGAAAATTGTTGGGTCTATATTATAACTAAGGGTGCATTCACAGCAGCCCTGTTTAGTCCGCTTTAATCGAACTCCAGCTCGTTTTCCTAGAAAGTCTGGTTCGTTTAGGGAGGTGTGAACGCGCCATCGAACTCTGTCAAGGAACAAAAAGGTGAACTCTGGCCCGGGCTAAATCCTAGGTCTCGGTCAGGTAGAAACGAACTCCAGCACTGTTAGAGTACAGTGTGAATGTAAACAGACCGAGCCCCGCTCCGCAGGGTAAACAAACACGCATTTCTCTGACCTTATATGGAGCCGTCAGCTGACTTGTGTGGAAAAACAATATTCTCCATGGTCTTCTGTCTCAACTTCTGCTCATGCTGAGTCCATTTTTGAAAAATGACAAAATATAACTCCTAAAACTGCTAAAACTTGATGCCACTTCGTTTTTATTTTTATTTACAGAAGAAGAAGTGTCTTCAGAGGTTTTTGTGTCGTTTCTTTGAGTAGTTCTTGGTGCAGCGCCCCCACAGGCGAGCGGGGGAACAGGTTGGTTCAACAGGTTGACTCGACTGCACAGTGCAGTGTGAATGCAAACTCACCCGCTCAAATGTAACAAAAGGTCATGAATATTGGTCCCGAACCGAACCGAGTCTACCGGACTATCTGGTGTGAAAACAACCTTATTTCCATGTCTGCCGTTAAAACTTTGCAGTCGTTCCTTAACTGCTGAAGAGATAAAAGGTTGGATGCCTTTTCTCATAATGTTTTGTGCTAAAACAAATGCTAAAATTTGCATCAATAATTATTACCTGATGTGAAACTCCCAAAGGTGGCATGGTGGTGCACTTGTTCGTTTCACAGTGAGAAGGTCAGCGAGATTAAGGTCGTTTTCACACCAGATAGTCCGGTAGACTCAGTTTGGGACCAATATTCATGACTTTTTGTTTACTTTTGAGCGGGTGCGTTTGCATTCGCACTGCACTGTGCAGTCCAGTCAACCTGTTGAACGAACCTGTTCCCTCGCTTGCCTGTGGGGGCGCTGCATCAAGAACTACTGAAAGAAACGACACAAAAACCTCTGAAGACACTTCTTCTTTTTCTGTAAATAAAAATAAAAACGAAGTGGCATCAAGTTTTATCAGTTTTAGGAGATATATTTAGTCATTTTTCAAAAATGGACTTAGCATGAGCAGAAGTTGAGACAGAAGACCATGGAGAATATTGTTTTTCACACAAGGCAGCTGACGGCTCCATATAAGAGAAATGTGTGTTTGTTTGTCCTGCGGAGCGGGGCTCGGTTTGTTTACATTCACACTGTACTGGAACCACGCTGGAGTTCTCTTCTACCGGACCGAGACCTAGGTTTTAGCCCGGGCCAGAGTTTGCCTTTTTGTTCCATGACAGAGTTCGATGGCGCGTTCACACCTCACTAAACGAATCAGACTTTATAGGAAAACGAGCTAGAGTTCGATTAAAGCGGACTAAACAAGGCTGGTGTGAATGCACCCTAAATCCTGGCTGTGGGCCTTTCTGGGTGGAGTTTGCATGTTCTCTCTGTGCATGTGTGGGTTTTCTTCAGGTACTCTGTTTTCCTCCCACAGATGAAAAACATGCATGTTAGGGTGGATTCACACCAGCCCTGTTTAACTAAATTCACACCAGCCCTGTTTAACTAACCTCCAGTCCGTTTGCCTAGTAAGTCCGGTTTGTTTGGGGAGGTGTTAGTGTGCAATTGAACCCTGATGCGGACCAAAAAAGCAAACTCTGGTCCGCCTAGGTCTCGGTTCGGTTGAAGTCAACTCTGGCGTGGTTCAAGTGCATTGTGAATGCAAGCAGAACAGAGACCGCTCCAAAAACAGGAAGTGGTCTACAGCGTTGGGCATTCTGTGTAACCAAAATAAACAAGCATTTCTCATGCCTCATACAGAGCTGTCTCAGCCACCTTTTAGTGAAAAACAACATTCTCCCTGGTCTTCTGCCTCATCTTCTGCTCATGCTGAGTCCATTGTTGTAAAATGTTTTTTGGCACATGTGCCACAAACAAAACAGAAATCTCAAAAACTGCTAAAATTTGATGCCAATCTATTTTTGTTTTTATTTCCAGAAGTACCGTAAGTTGCGCTTAGTGTCTTCTTCAGAGGTTTTTGTCTCGTTTCCTTCAGTAGTAGTTTTTGTTGCAGCGCCATCACAGGCGAGGAGGGGGGGCAGACAGGTTGTCTCGACTGACTCAATGCAGTGTGACTGAGAACCGCATCAGCTGAAAATGTAAACAAATGTTCTGAATTTTGGTCCCCAATCGAACCGAGTCTACTGGACTGTCAGGTGTGAAAACAACCTTAGGCTGATTGGTGACTCTAAATTGTCCCTAGGTGTGAGTGAGAGGGTGAACGAAGTTTGTCTCTATGTGTCCCTGTGATGGACTTGGGTTACTGATGGACTTGCTGGATATATGCACACCAGTGATGCCTGGAACCCGGGTTCAAGAAGTGGGTAAAGATGGTGGATGGATGGATGAAACTCAGAAAAGTATGTTAGTTCAGTATGCTTTTAAAAGACAGATGTTTCTACAGCAAGCTGTTTATATTCTGATGTCTGTTAGATTAAAAGAGTTTTATTCTTAAGCCACTCTTGGACAAATATCTATTTGTTGACAGTGACACTGATTGGTGTGCATGTCTGTTTCAGGTCTGGATGACTGCTTGCAGCAGTACGTGAGTGTGTTTGAGCATGCAGGTGTGTGCGGTGAGCGGCTGCTGAGGATTAGCCACGCTGAGCTCGAGGAGCTGGGAGTTTCTCGCATTGGCCACCAGGAGCTCATTCTGGAGGCCGTGGACTTGCTTTGTGCTCTGGTGAGTTTTATGTGTTGAGTTTTGTTTGCAGTGCCTGACTCCTATTAGACTCCTTTTAAAGCCAAAGCTGTAATTTAATCTGCTTTGCTTCAATGCACCGAGTACGAAATTGATGGGAGTGTACTGCATCATTTTTTTACAATTCTCAAGCGCCCTGACAACAAAGTAAAGGTTCATTTTAAGAGTGTGGAAAGTCTCTTCCTAAATCCCAAGACGAATAAGCAATAAATCCTGTACCTTAAAGGGATTTAAATAATTTGTGTAACAAAACAATTTGTTGCCAGCTGGTTACAAACATTTACACAAAAAATGCAATGGGACACTGGGAGAATGCATAAATATCAATTACTATATTCATTTGGGCTCTTGAGCAGCACCCTTTAATAATATTAATAATAAATAAATGTAGTCATGATTAATTCATATTTGTGATGTCAGTCACATCCTTTATTAATCCACAAAGTCCAAACAGTTCAGCATTTTTACAGTGCAAGTCATTAAAGTGCCTTTCAGAAAAAAGTGTCACACAGGAAATTATTTGTATTCATGATGGTTAACGCTCCAACTCTCTGTACATCTAGAATTCAGGTCTGGAGACAGAGAGTGTCAGGACTCTGGCTCACAAGCTTGGCGCCTCTGCCAAGAACTTACAGAACTTCATTTCCAGCCGCCGCCGGAGCAGCCAATTAGAAAGCAGGAGCTCACGACGACTCCCCAATGATCTGCTGACCTCCGTGGTTGACCTCATCACCGCTGCCAAGAGCCTGCTGGCATGGCTGGACAGGTAAGGCCTTCTCTGGAATCTAAATGTTATCTGATGTATTTATGAAATATTTCACTGTAAAATCAAACAAAGAACCAGTTTATTTTCCCACAATTCAAAGACTTGTTTCACATTAAATCCTATTTTATTCATTTATGTTCACTGTAACAAAAAATATATGTTTATTAATGTTTCAAGAAAATTACTTAAATAAGATGAGCCAAATTAGCAGTTTTACGCCAAAATATACATTTACTTTAACTAGGAATTGCAGAACATTAAAAATAAAGTGTAAAATAAATAGTCTTCTTGTTTTTCAAACTGTGTAATATACTTTTAAAGCCTGAAGGCATAAAAAAAAAAGATTGGAAAATCCACATCACATGGACTTTTTTTTTGCTAGAGGTGGTGCCATCTCATTTAGACAATTCTTGGAAAGAAGCTGCATGAGCTCTATCGGACAATTTAT